AAAAAAAAAAAAAAAAACTTAATATATAAAAAATTTGTGTGTTTATCCTCTCATATTTGATATCCTATGAACATAGTTAGGGATGTAGCGTGGCCTTTTAATCTTTCACGAAAGAACTTTATAGAACGTCGTTAGGGATGTAGCTTGGCCTTTTTATCTTTCATGAAAGAACTATATAGAACATGGTTAGGGACTTAGCAAAATAATTTACTTTTAATCATGTGTTGAGAGAGTGGGCCCATGGACTGTCAACACATGGTCAGTTAGGCAGGTAATTTTGTGTTCTTGCACCTTACAAGTACAATGTTGTGCAGTCAAACTGTCTACCGATATATGACACTAATCTGAAATGTCCATGTACAATATGGTACCATGAGTCAACAACTTAAGGAAGTTATTAACCATATTTTAGTAAAAAGTAAGAGATTTTAATTAAAATGAATGTTAATTTTTCATTTATTATTATGTATTTATACTAAGCAAACTATTAATCTATACCTTAAAAATACTGGTTTGAAAAACCCAATGAATATTATAGGGCATAACTCTTCTAAAAGCCCTTTAATTGTTTGTCTTTAAAACTATTAGTCCTTCAAACTATATTTTATGTGTTTTAACCTATAAACTTTATATTATTGCTATAATTGACTTAAAATAGACAAAATTTCATCACCTTTGTTATGTGGTTGTCTCTACTCCATTATGATGTTACCCTATTCTCATCAATGCTATGCTGGCATAAATATGGTCTGCTTGGACCCACAGAGATGGGAAAAATCTTGTCCAAGATGAGACCATGTCTACTTCTTCATAGGTCCAAGTAGACCATATTTATGCTAGAATGACATTGACAAGGATAAGGTAATGAAGTAAAGAAGGCCATGTGACTCATGTGATTGAATTCGGTCTATTTTAGGTCAATTACAACAATAATATAAAGTTTATAAATTAAAACACACAGAGTGTAAGGTGAGGGGCTAATGATCTCAAACATAAATACTTAGAGGGCTTCTAGGAGAGTTAAGCCAATATTATATACATGTATATCAATACATAGGGCTGTTTGGATTAGTTGTTTAGGTATAGTTGATAGTTGATAATTTTTTTTTTTCATCCCTGAAAAGCTCTTGCACTTGTGCCACATCGGCATTAACTAGTCTCTGACTCTGATAATACCACCAAAAACTTTTGCAGTATTGTTCATGCCAAAATCTGACAATAATATCTCCAGAAGATCAGCTGTGTTTCCGAACTGGATAGGTCTAATATCATACAACCTTAGCCTAGTCTCTAAGCTCCTTTGGTAGAAATAAGAGAGATACAATATTCCATTCAGAGAAGAAAACTCTCTAAGGTTATAGGATAGTAAGACTTAGGAATCTTAGCATGACATATTTTTTCCCAAGATTCCCCGGGTTGGAATGCATAAGGATGATCCCAACAGAGTTACACAATAGAAAACCAGACTGATCTCCAAAATTAGCACCGAATGAATTTGGGATTAAAGGCATTATCAATGCAGGATGATGATGATGAGTCGCACTCCAAACAAGGGGAAGAGGAGTCACGTCACAATTATTTAGATTAGTGTCGTCTACCAGTAGGCAGTTCAACTGCTAAACATTGTATTAGCCCGGTAGTAAGAACATGAAATTACCTGCGTAGCTGACCATGTGTTGACAGTCCATGGGCCCACTCTCTTAACACATGGTCAGCTAGGTAGGTAATTTTGTGTTTCTTGTTACCTGGCAAACACAATGTTTTGCAAGCGAACTGTCTACTGGCATGCGACACTAATCTGAATAATTGTGACATGATTCCTTCTCCTCCCCTTGTTTGGAGTGCAACTACTCATCATCATCCTCCTGCATTGATAATGCCTTTAATCCCAAATTCTGTGCTAATTTTTGAGATCAGTCTGGTTTTTTGGTGTGTAACTCTGTTCGGGGATTATCTTTATGCATTCCAGCCTGAGGAATCTTGGGAAAAAATATGTCATACTAAGATTCCTACAGTCTTATTATCTTATAACCTTAGAGAGTTTTTTCTCTGAATGGAATATTGTATCTCTCTTATTTCTGCCAAAGGAATTTAGAGACTAGGCTAAGGGTGTATGACATTAGACCTATCCAGTTTAGAAATGCAGCTGATCTTCTTCTAGAGATATTGTTGCCAGATTTTGGCATGAACAATTCTGCACAGTTTTTGGTGGTATTATCAGATTATAAGTTGTGCTATATGTGGAAGTATCCTATCAGTTTGGCCTATAACCTAGATAGGGTAGATATATCTCCAAATGCAACATATCCAACAATTGATGTGATGAAAGTTGACTTTGATGATACCATCCACATCATCAACTGCTTTAGATTGTGAGTATTTTTCCTCATTTTTAAGTTAATTATCTATTGATTTATTTGTTAACTGTTTGTATGCTTATCTGTGACTCCATGAGTACATAAGTATATATTACTCGATAAGTTGATTTATTTGTTTGGATATATTTTACCTCTTTTGTGTGTTTCTATTTCTTAGCTGTGTTTTAGTGATTCTTATCCAAATCAAGTTGAAGAAGAAACAGCATTGGATCTTGTGTAGGAAATTCAGCAAGTTGCTTTGATGAATGCTAATGATGATAAGTCTATTTGTGTGATTCATGCCAAATCTATGGAAGGCTTGTGTCTGGTCAAAATTTCCAGTTATGAATTCAGGGATGATGCTAAACAGGTACAATGGTAATGAATCCTTTTAGTTTTTGGTTTTTTGGGTATGAATTTAGTATGGCAATGGTTGTTGATTAAAGTAGTCTTGGTGGGTCTTTAGTTATTGGGCTCACAACTCACAAGTCACAACCAGAAGCAATAAGTTAGGAATGATGGTCACTTTCCTAGCACCAGCTCCAACACTAGCCGCGTTTGCTGTGTCAATTGTCACATCATTATGGGTCTCAGCCTCTAGAGTGGTTGTTGTGCTGTCAGACATAAAGTTCTACAAGTAGATATGCTGGAGCAATCCATTCCAATATGAAATGAACAGCCTGACCTCCATCAGTTTTTACTGCAATACAGAGGATTCTGGATCAGACTACCACTGCCCACGATTGACAGATGTATGGAATAGGTGGCAGAAGTGAGGAGCTTGAACCATGAGAGGATGGATACAGACATTATTATACTGTCTGCAATATG